GTTATCAGGCTCAAAACAAGCCAAGCCTTAAATTGCAGTAGGTGTGCGTGACAGTGATATATTAGAATTTTTCTTTTAAATTACACCTGTCACGGACGGTGGAAGTGCAGAGTCAATTTGAAAATAATTTACTTGAAAATGTGTAAGCGATGCATGGCAAATTAGTTTTCGCATTCCCACCCCTGTAGCCAGATATTAACACAGGCAATTGCTTAATTGATTCAGAAAGGTTTCCCTGCTAATAGTGTGAATCTTGCTACCATTTACAGCACTGTTCCAAATGCAGTTTTAATGGCAATGGGGCTGCAGATAGAATTGCTGAAGGTTTTCTTTTCTTTTCTTTCTTTTTCTTTTTTAAAGAAGAACACATTTTGCAGCTGTTACTCTTGCTTTTCTGATCACGACAAAGAGTTATCTCTGCAAATGAACAATGAAGTTTAATTGGAAACCACCGTGCAAATTCATTTGCTTTATTAGCCCAGTTTTCTTTGCATTGAGGATAAATGATGATGAACAATCTACTACTACTTCCATTTAATGGAGAACCAGTTTCCCATTTCCCTTCACTCAAATGGCTTTGTTCTCTTTATGCTTTTGTCAGCTCAGGGCACTACCCAATGTGGCTGCTTGCAGCTGTCCAAACTCAGAGGATTCCAGGCATCCAACAGAAGGTCGGAGGAGTGTAGTGGTGGAGACTGCTGCCATGTTCCATTCACCCTCCAAAACAGCTTATTTCAACCACCCAATGGTTTCCTTCCTTGGAAGGAGGAGAGACTGCAGCACTTTCTGGGATGCTTTGGAGGATGGTGGAGTCTCATTCCTCCATTCTCTGCCTCCAGGAGAAGGCAGTCTTTGTTCTTCAAATTCAGCTGGCACAGAAAAGAAGCGTGCTGCTTGCAAAGTCAGAAGGAGGGTCCCCTGAGGTCAGAGAGCCAGCTCCGACCAGAAAGTGAGGTCAGAGAGCCAGCTGTGACCTCCCAAGTGGGACTGGAAGTGCAAGAAGTACAGTTAAGCAAGTACTACAGGCAACATTTGCTACCACTGTGCTTGGATGAATGTAACAATCACTCCCAAATCATACTGAAAGCCCCCATTTGGTGCATCTTGTTTCAGATCCCGAGTGGGAAAATGGCAAGTGGGATGGAAGGGCCACATCATACACTTAGGCAGAAAGTTTCAACAGTAACAGCCTAACCCGAGTGAATGGTCACCTGGTAGTTGCTTGTTTACCTACAGAGAAATGTGGTCAGCACACCATTCTGCTGCCATTCAAGACCCTGCTGAAGACATGAAGCAGTAACGACTCATTTGGCATGACCTCAGATCCTCCTTTCCCATTGGTCAGTAACCGATTTGACAGGAATCCTTTCATTACAATGCTTTGCACTGGATTCCTGCACCATTTCCAGGTACCTTTAGGTATCAGTCCACATTCCCAAAGCTTAGCATTCCTGAAGCCTTCCCTATCCCATACACACAAAATGACAGTCCTGTTAGGAGGGCTGGTTCCTAAACAAAGACATGGAAAGGTTTTCAAGAGTAGCTTTGCATCACTGCAGAGGAACCTCCTTTAGGCAAGTGAAGACTTGAAAAGGGATTTACTGGGTTGGGTGCCTGTAGTGGGGAGGAAAGCATTGGTTGGATTTCTCTAATTTTATGCACAGCGACCATATTATACATGTTTGAGTTACTAATATTTTTATAGCTCAGATGCAATCCCCCGACCACCCCAAAATAACTGAGATGTACAAAAACCATGGAGAACACTGTGACAACAGGTGCTGATGATAAGCCGTCTTCCAATTCACTTTGTATTCCCTTCAAGCAACGAGTTCATTACCTTTACAGACATTTTTGTACACACTAAGAATGTGCCCTTAGGCTTCAGAGCAGATTTTGCATTGATGGATGACATCCAGCAGATTTTGTTTAGAAAGCTAGAAAAATTATACTCTATTTTAACCGAGAAACATTTAAAATCACAATTTATTATATATTTTTAAATCAGAGGTACACCAGAGAGCAGCACAATCAACTCACATATTATGCAGTACGTGTTCTCATCCAGGATTTATTAGAATATATGGGCCTTCTACAGATTCAAGTCAAGAGGAAGAATTTATTTTGATTTTGCAAACACTTAGTGCCAATTCAAACACTGCATTTCAAACTTGTCTACAAAAAGTCTCTATTGTAAAATATATACACATAAAATACATTTTCTTGGTTGGCTCTTCCATGTTCACTGTGGGGAAACACAGTGGCTTAAAGAAATGTGTGCGATGCACAAATCATATCACCGCTTAAAAGTTGAATATATTTTGTGTGCACTCAGGTTCAAAATGTGCGGCCTGATTATTATACGAGTCCCCAATTGCCGGAAGGAACCTTTTAGCGTTTGTAGAGTGGGTGGAGCTACTGGTCCACTGGCCATGTATGTATTGTTTTCTGTTGTTCCTATCTGTTACATATCAGGCCCCATGAAATAGGGTGTAGCTCATCAGATCATGACAAGTCGGTTTGGCCACCTCTCCCCACAGGCAGCTATGAGTTGCCCGATGCCATTTCTCTCACTCCTTCCAGAGGCTGGTGCTGTGGTGTATATCCATCATCATGGGATAACAACACCTACAACAGGGGTGTACACTTAGCCAGGTGCCTTCTGCTAAAGTAAGGGCTCCTCTTATGGAAGGTACCAACTGCGGGGGGGGGATGTTGCCTCCACCCCCACATACCACTTAGCAGAGTCTCCTGGCTCTGTGTGTAGCATTTTCAAGGGGTTTGAGGGACTGCCATGGGAAGCAGGGAGTGAGAAAGACTGTTTTGCCAAGGCGAGCTGATCCATCATAAATCTGGATCCAAATGAACAGGAACAACTGGAGGAAAGACTGAAAGAATCCACAGAACAGCAGTAGGAATTTTAAAATTCTATCCTGCTTGATCTCTGTGTGGTTTGCAAGTTAGGGCTACAACTGGAACATCTACCAGAAGAGCCATCAACATCTCAATGACTGGTTGCCACTGAAAAATACCTATGTGAATAGAAACTTGCCCAAGAACACTCTGTTTCCCCATCAAGTGACAAGTGCAGAACCCTTTGTAGGAGACACCCTGTAAAACTGTGCATATCGGGATTCTTAGATTCACACTTTTGGTGCATCTTCATAGCAGATGTCACTCTCACTATTTAAACAGAGATAGAAAAGGATTGGGAGCTCTGCAGATGGTCTGGGTCTCATCGAGACGGAACAGTGATCGATGCAGGCTCAGGCTGCAGAGTTGTGCTTCCAGGAGAGAAAATGCTCAACATTTGCCAGGCTGGGAAAACAGGACCTAAAAATGCCAGTTTCGCACTGCAGCTTCTGCAGTTTTCTTGGCTTTATTCTGCTTCTCAATGCCTCAAGATGGCATCCATTGTAGGTCATGACAGACAGAAAACCCTGCAGCATGTGTGGAAGCTGAATAATTCTTAAAATATATTTCTGAAGTTATTGCTTTTGCTTGCAAAGAGAAAAAGTTGGTAATGAAACAGGGAGGGAGGGAGGGAGGGAGGGAGGGAGGGAGGGAGAGCTCCAGTATATATTTCTAATATATCTGTCCAAAATATGTTGTAACCATAAAATACTTGCACTTGTGCAGGGACTATACACCTGAAAGACACACTGTGGCAGGAGCTTTTGACTTGCATGTTACATCAGATCTCATCCCGATGAAATTTTGGTATGCTTTGCAAGCACTTACCAATTCAGATTCCTGGGCTTGAGATTAAAAGGTACATGAGAGATAACAGGACACAGATGGGTGGTTCTGCATGACTGGACTGGGGAAATAAACCTCTGTACTTTCTTTTCCTTGTTTGAACATGCTGGTTGCATGATGCAGAATTACCCTAATTCTGGACATGGCTTGTTGTGCTGCCTGAACCTGGAGAGGGAAGGGGTGGTTTACCCTGAAACCCTAGAACAAGCCATAGGTTCCGGGGTAGTTTGTAAACTCACCCACTCATGCTGGGTTTGGATAATGCAAGATACCAATGCCTGATGAGGGTATTCCTGGTCATTCTCCAACCAATGACTGGCATGAGCAGGGCAGGAAAATTAACTACAGCAGTTCATTTTTTTCCCTGATTGTGCAAACCCAGTCATTCTCTTGGTAATAATCTTGGGTTTTTGACAATTCACAGTGATAAATAAAGCAAAACTCTCATTTGGAAGGGGAAAACGGCCGATTGCTGTGTTTTGTTTTAGACCATGCAGAAGCAAACATTAAAGAACAGGTGAGCATGGATAGGCTAAAGTCTGATTGCCTTTTCCAACAAGTGGACAGACACCTTGACTTGAGTTCCAGATGGACCATATTCTTGACCACAGCTTCACCACATGGCTTCTCATTTCACACCATCATCCTCTGTGAGCCTGAACATCTGAGCTTTCCAGACAGCCATTTAAAGTGTCCATTTTTCAGTCTGCAGTCTTCTTAAAGTGCATAAATGAAAGACACACACGTATTAAGTGCTTTCTGAAGTTGCAACTGGTTGCTTCTCTTGGTTTTGCCTATTGTCATGGGGATAATACAAGTTGGTTTAAAAAAAAAACCCAGAAGGAAGTAGTTATAACAATCCATCTCTCTGTAGCTATGCAGGCTGCAGCTTTAAAAGTTTCTTCTAAGAGGCAGAGCTTTTTTTAGTGTAAAAACAAGAGTGCTTCTTAAAAGGGAGCTGTGAATGGCTCAGTGTGCACCAAAACACCCATGGGCAAAAAGCCACTGGCCTAATCAATAACCACCCACACATCTGCCGAGGGCAAACATGTAATGGACCAGCAGCTGTATGAGGCTCCATTTGGGAGATGCATTAAACCTAAACTGGAATATGAAATGCATTTTGATTTGGCAAGACCAGAAGGCTTACCTCCCGTGGAGATTTTCTCTAGATCTTCGGTGCGGACTCGTCTCGCTCCTCTGCTACCTCTTCCAGGGGCTGCATGGCTTCCTGCACATAAACGATAAGTTCGGAGGCCTCTCCTCCCTGTGTGTAGACAGTCACTGTCCCAATCCCTTCCACGTCATCAGAAGAGACAACCAGGTGATGCTGTTCGGCCAGCTCGACAGACGCCTGCTGCAACGTTTCCTGAATCATCACAGTGTGATTGGCCGATTGTTCCTCTTCTGTCACCTGCATGGAGATGGCGGCAGTTAAAAAGGGATCAGCAGCATGAATGTCGGTGGTGCTGTGCTACAGCTAACATGAAGAGCAAGAAGACATAAAAGCAAATGACAGCGCCATGTAGTTCATAAACTGATGGTACTCTGGGAGACTCACTACGCCAAATGCTGCTATCCAGCCATGTAATGGAGCCTGCTGGGTACCTGACAACCCGCAGCAAAAGCAAAACGTTTACTGAGCTCCCACATGGCCAGAAGCACAACTGTTGGGTTGCACTGGCTCCGCTGTACAGCCTGCAGGAAAAGATGACCCGTGAAACAGATCTCTAATGAAAAATCACAGATTTCTAGTAAGTGCACAGAGATTCCATTGCTGGCCATCTAACAGGATGGTCTAATTCCTAAAAGAGGGTCCCCTTGCTGAATCACAGGTGGTGACCCTGTGGCACACCTGGCCACTGCTTTCCCAAGGGACACAGGGTAGACCAGAGAGGCTCAATCTTGTGTTTCAGATTTGCTTTGTGGTACAGACTGGCCACCACTTCAGTTATTGGTATTTTTCGTACATTTTTAGAAATCCTACTCCTCTTCCAGTGAGGTCAGTGTGTTCACAGTTCCTTACCCCCATCATTCTATGCTTACAGCAACCAGGTGAGACTGAGAAAGGTGGGAGAAGAGACATGTGAGTGTTCCCATCTCAAGATCATCCAGTGGGTTCATTATTAAGTAGGGGCTGGAACTACAGTCATGCCAGCCCAAATCCCAAGGCTATATCCATAATGCTAGTTGCATCCCATGTCAGAAAAAAGACAAGTCCGGAAGGAAGTTATACTGATTTCAGATTTAATCTTTGTTGAAATCACATCCCAACTGTTAACTCCTTCTGCACATTTGTAATGGTATATTCTGAGCCCCGCCTTGACAGCTTCTCAAGCCGTTAGTTCTTTCTTGTCAAAGTTTGGGTGGACAGCAGAGAATGGGTCATATAAGGACCTTATGGAGAAGCTGAGCACTAATTTATGTTCTAGTGACACGACTTCTCTTCCTGCTGCCTCCCATGGAGCAACTGGTTTGCCATCTGTGTGGTCCCCAGGGCTATTTGCCCCAAGTGAGCTGCAAATCACAAGATTCCCCATAATCTAAAGCATGTGGGCATAAATACGACATTATTCCTCTTGCATCAACATGAACAACTTTATGGACTACTTCTTGTTAAAAACTAGCAACTCCCCATGTTTCAGCCAGCTTTACTGTAGATGTTTATTCATGTATTTGCAATTGCTAAAATGTATATCTTAAAACAGAAAGGGGGAAAATCAGCTTCTCCAATAATGCCCCTCGTTGAGCACATATAAACTTAGTGCCCATCAGGCCAGTAATGGAAATATCAAAAAAAATGGCCCAAGGCACCCTTCATTTAGAAGAAGTCTGCTTTCTGAAACAGTAATAGCTATGAAGCATGAGCACGGGGGAGAGGGAAAACAAAAAGAAAGGGAGTAATAATCATTTTTCTGGAGAAAAGAAAAATGCAATTGTTTTGTGCTGAAAGGGTTGTTCTATGACACAGCTGTGGTAAACAGAAGGCCATTTTATGTGTACATTGATCAGTATATGCCAAGCTAGCGGTGCCATTTAATTGATTTAGGTTGGCTTCTTCTTTTGCCAGGAGTAGGAATATCTTTTATCCAGGCTTGGTTCCTGCTTAATTTGAACCGAAAGAGTCAGGAGAACACTGGATGCCGGAGCTCTGGAAAACCCAACACATCATGCTGCCATGACCGACAGCAACCGATAAGCTGCATGGGCGAAGGCATTCGATCTGCGATAGACACTGCACACGGCGTCAGCTTACTTTAGATTCCCCGCTTCTAAGATCAATGAGCAGCAGCACGGAGCTGGCAGCATGCTAGGTCACTGGGTCAAAAGCATAAAGGCATGTGGCAGCCCAGATAAATACCCGCATCAGTAGAATAAACGGGGGAAACAAATTATTAGCATGTTGGCTTTGTGACAGAGACAAGTTAATCACTCTCTCCCGACTGCATTTATTGGAGGATGCAAAGAGCGCCCTGCTGGATCCTCTCAGGCAGCTGCCCACTTCCCGGGTGTCCTGGCAGATGCCTTCACAGCAAGAGAGGCGTTAAGGCGGCCGCTCTACCCTAGGCTGCTGCCCCATGGCAAATGGCTTTCTGGCATAATGGCTTTGAATGCCGCTGCTCAATTTAGTGGCCAAGGCCAACCGCCATTGATCAAGCAGCTCCTCAAGTGTCCCGTCCTGTCCCTCCCAAGCTCATAAAATCAGCAGGAAATAGAGCCATGAAAATGCAGAGCACTGCAACTAAGAGGATGTCCCCAGCTCACTTCCCACTCCAGCCACTACCTGCAAGATGAGGAAGGAAGACTAGATTACCCTCCAGGAAAGGGTTACTGGGATGCACTACAAAAATTCTGATCTAAACCAGAAAATCCATTTTAAATGTTACTGATATTGCTTTATTGAAAACACAAACAGTGACTGGCTAGGGGGGTTTCTGGTGGTGCCCATTTCTCCCCCGCCCCGCCATTTTCACATCTGAACTGTGACCTACACGGTGCCTTGGAGTTGCCAGAGGATTCTGAAGGGCAGACCTTTCAGAGGGGCGCATTGCCGTGCAGTCCAGATCGCCAGTCCCCCGAAAGCAAATGGAACCAACATTTTCATGGAAAGAAACCCATGCACACACCATGCCATGGCCGAAGCAAGAACAAGGAAGGGGAAATGGCAGATCTGCACAGGCGATTGCTGGCTGAGAAGGCAGGAGGGTGCTGGTGCAGCCAAGACTCCAAGAGGCACCTTTCCGGGGCTTTCCTGGGGTCAGACGTGACAGCAATGAGATGCAACCTCTCTGATGCAGTTGTATAAGCAGGCAAGAGAGGAGGATGCGAAAAGGGACCCTTCCTTCTTTCCGAGGGCCACCTCAGTTCTGAATTGCGCCCAGAAGCCGAGTGCCAGCCCATGCAAAACACCTCTTGAACGGGCGCCTCTCCTCTCCTCTCACCATCACCAAGTCCCTTCCATACTCGCTATAAGGCTGACTTTTAAAGAGTGGTTGTACCAAATAGGAAAGGGACGATGGGGGAACAAAATTCCCTTTCCCCTCCCCAGATCTGCTCCACAGGCTATGCCACCACTTCCCTGAGGCTACAACAGAGCCTCTAGTCACCCAGTAATGAGAATATTTAGATACCACACTACTGAGCAGATACTTTAATGTGGTTGCAACACCATGAGGCCAACACAAATCCCAAAAGGGATGGGCACCAATTTTCCCACCTGTGCCCTTTTTTGACATCCACATGGTAAACATCTAAGAGAACCCAAATTTGTACAGGTCACACACATAGAATAATATTGTTCTATTAATAATATTAAGGTAGCCAAACGGTAAAAAACAGACCAGTGAACTTGGAGCGCAACCCTTCCTCTCCTTCTCTCACTATTTATTTGGATGCAAACCACCTTGCTACTGGTGGTGGAATTTCAACATCTTTGTGCGTTCGGGGGGGTGGGGGAGGGTTGCTGAGTTTTATACATGGCCCCGCAAATCAGATTTCCTGTCCCTCCTGCAAATGACACTCTGCAGTGCGCGCACAGTCTCTAAGGTGATGAAGCTCGCCACTCAGGAGAAAGTGACATTAAATTCGTTTGTGACCTGCAAACACGTATAATGTAGCTTGAATGGGAGTTGAAACTGGCTTGTTTTAGTTGAAAGCTGCATGTAATTTTAAATGTGCAAATAAATAACAAGGCAAGGAACATAAATAAAAATGCTGTCGACGCAGGAGCAAAATGAAACCAGAATCTCATTTGGTGCAAGGGCACCAAACTGAATGCTTATTCAATTTTATATTCACTTGAAACGAAAATGGCCAATAAAGCAAGTTAACAGCTTTCCTACCTGCCTTTATCCATATGTTTTTATTGACTTTGTCATTCAAGGAAAAATGATTAACTGCTGTTACTCATGGAGCGTCCTTTTTCCTTTCTCTCTGGTGGACATCTCTCTATAATCCTCTTAGAATGACAAATCGTTGCGTTTCTCAGGGTAGACACACTTCAAATCAGCTCAAAATTTACATATTCCTACCTGTTTATTATTGGATTGATCAACTGGGTGCCATCATTCCAAAATGTTTCTTTTACATCCAGCTCCCCTACCTCCAAAACAGAAGCATCCATGGAATGACAGATGCTACCAATTCGTCTTTATTTCACCTTGCACAAAATTCTAATTGTACAGTATGTGGCAAACTGTGTCATGGCTGCTGCAACTCCAGACTTTTGCCCTCTCACTGCAAAGCTCTTGTTCATAAGAGCAAGTATTTCTTTTATTAAGTAAGCAGTTTGCACAGGCCTTTCCAGGAAGAAGCAGGGTGACAGCGGGGAGGAACAGATAGCGAACAGTACCAATAAAAGGTTTAAAATACAGATAAAAACTGGAAAGATGATGCAGATGGGATAAGGGCAGGATGAGCTTAAGGATTCTCTTAGCTAAGGGACAAACGTCAGACTTCCAAAATAGAGGAACGTCGGGGGTTTCGCAAGAAGCTGAGAAGCTGGATGCTCACCTGGCCCAAATGTTTATGACTCAGTGTCAAACAAGATCTGAGGGGTCGTCCAATGTCTATCCCCTTTGCCTACAGTGTGGGAGTTTGTGTGAAGGGGCGTTCTTAGTCTTCATGGAAGAAAATATGTCACCCTTCAGACAGTTGCATTACAACTCCCATCAGTCTGAACCAGCACAGCCAGTGGTGAGGGATGATGGGAACTGCAGTCCAACAACCTCTCGAGAGTCACATGTTCCCCACTCCTGCTTTACATGAACTGGAACATGCAGGGAAGGGGGGGTGTGCACTCTGCCCCCCTTCCCTGCCTAACTTTTTGGTGCTCCGCTGCTGCTATGCACAGGCTTGGTAAGACAATCAGAGGATAAGGGTGGAGAGGTAGAGGCGAACGACAGTGATAGATGC